TCTCTCTCTCTCTCTCTATCTCTCTTGTCTCTCCTTATCTCTTTTTCTCTCTCGTCCTATCGTTCGCACCGTTGGATATAATATTCAATTTATTATGTACCTTTGATACATGCGGACCGCCGCGCCGGAAAAGTGGGAGGCGCAAATGCACGGCAGCCACGGGCTGTCGGCTCTCCTTCCGGGGAAAAATAAAATGGGGAAAATATGAGAAACGGTAGAATGAAAGAGAGAGAGGGGAGAGAGAGAGAGAGAGAGAGAGAGAGAGAGAGAAGTGCGAAAGGACGAGAGAACGAGATTGCGGTGGAGGTGGAACGTGACGGTGAGGAGTAGAGAACGGACGGAATCGGCAGCGTTCCGCTCGAGGGTGAATTGTCGAGATATTGTCGATCGGGCAGCTCACCCCTCGATAAAGCGTCTCGGTCAAAACGTCCTCCTTTTTGGTGCTCGACCGGCTGACGAGCGGGAAAAAGAGTGCCCGAGACTGAAGTGCCGATCGCTATGTCAAAGACGAGAGAATGAGAAAAAGCACGACGTTGACGAGAACGACGACAACTAAGCGCCAGAGGATCGTACCGAATGCGGTCGTACGGATTTGTTCGCAAACGTTCGTTTTTTCGTTAATTGTTGACGAACGAGCCGTCGTTAGTGTTCGGATTTAATCTCAAGGGATAACATGACGACTTTATCGCGATTGATATACCTATCTAGGGTCCCGCAGGGATAACTGATCCGCACAGTCATTTGGGCTTAGCAAATCCAAGCTGGAAACTGAGCTCAATACATTGCAGATATTCACATATATTTGCACATCATTTGCACCTGTACACACACGGTTTGGAGTTTTGAGTAATAGTGCAATAAAGATTTTAGAAAAAGTAGAATTAGATATAACTTGTGTAATTTGAGAATAATGAGAAAATAAGAGTACATAAGAAATACGTAATTAACCCATGTAAATGTTACAGATGAAACGAGATAACAAAAATCTCAGTTTTTATTTACATATTCCATAATTAAACAAAAACAAAGTTGAGCTGAAAATGAAAAGAATCGAAAAAATTTCTATGTTATTATTTCACATATAATAATAGTTAATCAATGCAATGTCAATAAAAAAAGTAATTTAGAGATTATATAAAATATAAATAAATTAATCCGACAATTAATATTTGTACAAGATTTTTTTATATAAAATTCTGAAATATCTTTGAGAGCATTAAAGATAGGAAAGAGGATGAATCGAATCGTAGAAAAAACTGACTTTTAAAAGGATGACATAATGTTATATCTGTAATAAACTTTAAGATATGCCATCTCGAAGAGTAAGGCAAAGTAGCTTGCATATCGCAAACTTTTGTTCTATCTTTCATCGTAATGAAAATTTTACTGCAAATCCGTCGAATCGGAAATTTGTTTAGCGGGAATTAAACGCTGCTATGAAGATATGCCAAATAAGAACCAAGCTAAAGGTAAAGATAATATAATTAGCTATTCGCCCAGCTTATTAAAAGTTGCTTTAAGAAGTTGCCAAGATACGCGAGATACTTACTTTTAATTCATGACAGCTACCGTTTATTGAGAGATTGTTTTCAGTTGAGATTCTTTAAAAAAAGAAATGAACGTTTTATTTTGAGATATTGGATTTATTTTTTCAAGGGTACAGCATATTTTCTAAAAAACTTTATATAAAGTTAATTCGTTGCGATAAAATAATGACTTTTTCTTCTTTTAAATCTTATTTTGTTTCTTTCGAGACTCTTAAATTCTCTATGAAATAATTAATAATGTTTTTTTAATAACTTTAATAACTTTAAGCCTTATTTATGGACTTTTATAAAATAAAATGATTAACAACATAATTAATATTATTCGCGTAAACAACTTTTACTTAATTACGAAGATTTAAATTTTAAAGATTTTGTTAGAATCAATTTGGTTTCCAAAATCATACTTAACATTAATATTAAAGTATATTTTATCAACATTAAAGTACATTCTTAATCTTAATATATTAGAAGATGTAAAGCAACAGCTTTGTAAAATGTCAAAAAATGTAATACTTAACTTTTAAGAAACTCTTTCAAACACCATTTCAATCTGTGTGATGGAAGTAAGCCAATTGAAATAGAACCCCGATGATGAAATTATGTCTGCGAATTAGTCGAAAGCCTGGAACGACCGAGTGCTCCTCTGTTAGTGTAGTACAATGCGTCGGGGGCCACATGAAAAATCGCGAAAATTTTTTCTAATATCTCGTAACACGAGGCGCGCCGAGGTACAAAGCCGCACCACTTGCGAGGCGTAAGGCCGAAATTTATGAGAGAAGAACATTCCCGAGGATAGTGCCGCGGCCTCCTTCTCGGGCGGCTCCTCAATTATGACAGTGAGAAAAAGTACACATTAAGGGGATTGCCCGGGGGCGGCTGAAGCAAGCACATGCATAGCGCGCTACAAAATTGCCGCTTAAGCTGCAGTGGGCGGTGATAAATGTAGAGAGGTTAGAAGCACGTTTTGACGTGGAAAAAAAGGAAAATAAGAAACGAGAGAGAGAGAGAGAGAGAGAGAGAGAGAGAGAGAGAGGGAGAGAAAGAGAGAGAGAGAGGATGAGCTCACCGCAAAGCTCGATGTGCTTATTAAAAGAAAGGCGAGTTGATGAAGTGCAAGCCAAGCGTCTCTTCTTCTTCCCTTTCTCTCTCTCTCTCTCTCTCTCTCTCTCTCTCTCTCACTCGCACACACTCTATTTCGCATCTCCTCCCCACGCAGTGGTTATTTCGTGATGAAGGGACGCAACGAGATTAACCGTATTCATTTACGATGCTCGTTTCCCTCGTCCGCTGGAGGCTGAGAATTTTTTAGGTCGTGCCCCTCAATCATAAATCCATTAAAAACCTAACAACCAGCAGACCACCGTGTGCGCAAATGCATTTGTGGGTGTGCGTCTGTATGTAGTGGCGCGGTTCGTGTGACAAATGCATTAACTTTTAATAGGGGCCCTCTCCGCGGGCGGAAACAATGCTTCGAACTGATTTAACGTCGGCGATAATTGGACGCTCGATATCAGGAGTAACGGCCAACTTTTTCGCCGACTGATTTAATATTAGCGGTGGACGTTCTCGTTCACGTCGAAGACGGGGGCAGGATGGGAAGGGTACGCTGGTAATTATCGAAAAAACATACTGCAACCTCAGCCTCAATCTGACCGAGAGTAATGGCTCGTTACTTCGGAAACGACGCTTCGGAAGCCCCGCGCGAGATCTGGAAGCACGAACGATGCGGGTTGCGTCGTTATGCAACGACGATTCGCTCTTCTGTACTTGACAAGGACAGAGATTTAAGTTTCAAAGAGCAATTCTTTAGCTAGAAGTCTGTCAATTGTAGAGGCATGCTTTCAACGTAAATTAATAAGACGTAGATAAATTTGATTGATATTTTTTTATTCAGATTGAAATTGATAAAGTAATGTAAAAGTTTCTTCTTCATTTAGATAGGTTTGAAAGATATTTTTTTTTTTACTGCTTCATTTAAGAACACTTTCAATTAAATTTACCTTGTTCCGCAATTTGTACAACTTTGTTTCATATCTTGTACAACTCGTTATTGATTAGAACAATATAAATACATTAAGATTAATACAAATTCCCGTTTATTCTCTTTTGCTTTTCAAATACAGAAACACGGTATATAATTATCTACCTTTGCGCGGATGTTTTGCAAATTGCCAATACGTTAATGGATAACGCAAATAAAGGGAAGTGAAGTTCCCCGTTCTTTTATTATTATTTATCAAAGAAATGCTTCGAAGAACGTGGATGAAGATATTGAATCGTATGAATAAACTGCAGAGCAAGTGCTTGAACCTTTATTCATCGAAAGAAATGCATGGAGAAATGCGAATGAGGATATTGGAGCATATGCTTATTTCCCCAAAGCAAAGTTTCTCTATGAATGAAGAAATTTTGGAACATGTAAATATAATTGGAAAGACATTTGTGCGTTTTTTCGAAAATGAACACTATAACGTTATATAACTTGTACATATAATATAATCTAAATATGGTATGTTGAATCGAACAATACATATAATATTTATCCATATAAAATTTATTACAACGTGATACATGTACTGTAATCTGTAAATCGCGTGGTCCAGATTAATGGTATTTGTTGCGGTAGCAATGACGGATATTTACAAGCGCATTGTTCAAGAATCGCGAGCGTTAGTACCGGACAAAGGAATTTTCCACAAATGTACCGCGTCTTTTTTCATTTTGATCCATGATCTAGAACTTGCAGGTGACGTGCGTATTCAAAACGTATATGTATTAGTAAAGTTGATTGTCCGTTTCCAGTGCAGAGACGACAGTACGCATCGAGCCCCCATGCTTCGCAGATGAACTTTTGTTGAAGTCCAATTGAGAGCTGGTGAAATAGTGTAACGTTAAGCACGAATATACTGGACTATTGTACGGTATTGCTGACGCGGAGTTATTTAATATTGTATTATTCATTAAAAAAAAATATCGATAATTCGTTTTACACATCGTGTATCCATACTGTTATTAACAATACCAATGTTGAATCTAATTTGTTTGCTTTGAACGCTCTGTTAAAATGAGTGCAGAAAAAAATCGATAATACTATAATGCTATCCCTTCTCAAACAATAGCAAAGAATTATTTGCAGGGTATACAGGATGTG